GTTACAGACGCTATTTATAATAATTTGATATTATATTTTGTCATTATATATGTTTTGGTAAGGTGTTATTGTGATAGATGAAATACTAAATTACACATCTTTCTACAGGTGTCTGTTAAAATTGTTTGCTATTCTAATAAATCGTTCACGATATCTATAGAACCTGTCTCATTATACAGATTAAATATGTGGATATTTAATATAACATGCATTTCTCAGTTTCACAGCGTCAAATGTATTTGTATTCCATCTTAATAATAATGATTTTTTTGTTACAAAACATTCGAACATATCAGCTAAGACTGTATTATTGATGGATGTGTACCTTTGTTTAATGAAAAACAAATAATAACCGCGCGCTAATGCTTCAAAAGTAATTATGCAAATAGGTATTTCGTTCTCTAGTGAATTTTGAATTTTCAGGTAATGATGAAGATGATTTTAAGATTGCCTTTTGCCTTATAGTGAATTTTTATTTCACCTATAATGATGAAGGTAGCTCATAGCTGACACTTTGTTCTACGGTGATACTTTAACCTTAATTTTAATTAGGTAAACGGCCTATAGATGGCGATTCGCTAAACAAAGACTTTTACTTTCACCTGTAACAATGAAGATGGCTTATAAGTAGCGTTTAGCATTATAGTAAATAGTGTCCATAAGTAAGAATGAATATAGCTTAGATATATTCACTTATTCTATACCAATTTTAACTCGTTATAGGTAAGAATGTTAGCCATATTCCCCAATGCTTCTCTATCTTTTGGCGTTCAACACTAAAAAATTAATGGTGAAGTTTCCTGCAAATGATAATTTATTTTAAAGTACTTTCTGCTATCACAGAAAAAAAATGGAGAAGGCCTCTAAGCAACACTTTATAGAATAGCAACTTTTAGTTTCGTACGGAATGGCTAAATGACACTTTATATGATGCTAATTTATTTTATCCTATGAATAATTTGTGGAGTTTGTTTGTTTGTTTTGAATTTCGCGCAAAGCTACACGAGGGCTATCTGCGCTAGCCGTCCCTAATT